GATCCGCTTTTAAATCAGTGGCAAAGCCAGTATCGATCCAAAAAGCTTGATAGAATAAAAAAAATAAAAAAAAATCATAAATCTAACAAAATAAATAAAAAATAAAAGAAAAAGAGATGATGAGGAAAATACCTAGCCGGACAGTTGGCCTGGGGCACTCGAGCATTTGAGGCCTCGCCCGTATCAGAACCACGGTTCTGTACGTATGTCCTATGTTGTTGTCCCTTTAAACTTGACCAAACCTTGGTTTGGTTGAACTAGAATTTTGCTGATGTAAGCTAAAAATTGGTTTCAGGGGGAGCCAGAGCTTAAGATTGCATTTCTAGATCTAGGTTTTCTCATGGTTTTCTTCCTAAGCTCTATATCCCTCAAATTTCCTGGCCTATGGATTCACAAAGTCCCACCCTAAATGGGTCACAAAACGTGTTTATATAAAGACTCAAATCATACTAAAATAGATATATACCAATTTTAAGCAGATTTGCTAACCCAATTTCCATTTTGGGGGTCAAATGAAGCCCAACTCTTACCAAAATTAGTAGTTGTATTTTTATGATATTGCCTACCAAAAATTAAATAAAAATATGTTTTTTTTGGTTATTTTTACTTGATTTATTACTAAAATAAAGGTCTTGCAGGATTCTAGATCACATGATAGAGATCACAGACTATGATGGTCTATAGCTTGCGGGTTTACTGGGATAGTGTAGTCTTGAGGGTTCAAGAATATCACAGAATTTACCAGTTTTAAAAATATAGTGTCCTCAATTTGTATAAAATATAAAGAAATACGTTAAATAATAAATGAACCGAAATACCCCTATAAACATAAGCGCTACTTTGGTCATTTTATTATACTTGAAATCTTTTTATATTTTATATACATAAGCCCGTTGAAATGTACACAATCCTGATTTATTCTTAATGGCAAAAAAAAAAAAACGGACAGATAATTTTGTATTGGCCAAATCGTTGTTTTGCAATCACAAGCTTCCCATCTTGATCGGACAATTGACAACACGTCTAAGTATTTGAATGTTATTTTTTCATATACATGGTAATGAGCTAAAACTTGCGTACCTGTTCTTCTAGCCTTCAAGCACCTCTGAAAAATACCAAAAAAATATTTCAAGAAAATTACAGTGTCCAAGATATCCTTGAGGCTTTGAGGGGTAATTTTTTGAAATTTTACTTTTATGGAATTATTGTTATTTTATATTTTTACAAATGTGCCCCAGTGAGGTGCACCAATGGTTCAAATTTCATTTAAATATGAGTTTTTAAAAATAAAAAACTATATATGCAAAAGATCTACAAAATAATGCTTCGGTTCAAGCTTGAGAGGAGCGAGATTCCACAGCTCGCCTCTCCATTGGTGGGAAGGTGGAAAACCAAGCATCTCAATATTGAGAAGTGTGAGCTCCCTGCTCCCTTCTCCCTAGTTGACAAACTAGGAACCCTTACAATTAACCAAAAATTTCGGCATTAGGCGTTAAATGTTATGGTTACCAAACACTAGCTTGAAGTGTTATTGTTTTTTTACACGGGAACCAACTTGGGGGAAATGATTTGTATCAGATTTGAAGTTTTCTTTTCAATCTTGAGATATTAGTTTTTTCAAGTGGTTAAAGGATGCAATTAGGATTTTGTTTTTGGTTTTTTTTTTTTTGTTGAGGTTGATCTATGTATAAAGAGGTTATATCTTTAGAAATTTGAGGTTCTAAAATTATTCCTAGGTGAAGTTTTAGCCAAGGAAGTAAATAGACAGTGTACACCCGAAGTAGTAAAATATGTTTTGGCTTTAATGAATTCAAAAATATTTGTGAAGGAATTTTTTATCTCCATAAATAAAGAGGCTGAAATGGGACGTGGTAACGGAATCTAGATAAACAAATTCATATGTTGTTTCTTTACTTTTGCTTTCTTTTTTGCTGCATTCTTTCAAGTAAAGTCCCAATTGGCAAGCCACTTGAGGCATAGTGACCTGAGCAAACATACCTTATGTAGATGCACATCATTAGCTCACTACTATTTTATTTTATTTCACTTTCAAGGAAGTCCTCCACTATAGAAAACTAGAGTAACTATCACATTTTAAGCCCACATTTTTAGGTTTTCACCATATTCTCAAAGCTCAATTATGTTGTGGAGATTGGTGCCTGCCCTGCCTAGTCAATCCATGGCCACAAATCTTGTAACTGAAATGCATTCATATGACTAATTGTATGCCATTTTAAGTGTGATCAAATTCATCACTCCTTTTGCATACTACCTGCCAAACATTATGTAATGTTTGGCTCAAAATTTTAGTATAATGGAGATGGAACTAGAGAACAATGATATTGGATTACAGCTCTATTGGGGAGGCCCCCTCTCACCCAAAGAACCCAAGTTATGTTGAGCAATTCTAATGCACACTAACCTAACCAAACATCTTCTTATCTCAATAAAATCAGGAAAGAAAACGTACACCCAACCTTGAATGACTATGTACCTCTTAATAAAGATCAGGAAAGAAAACGTAAACCCTACCTTGAATGACTATGTACCTGCAACTTTAAAAAGAAAATGCTATTCGTACCCATAACAATTAGGTTTCTTGCATCGTGTTATATTCTTTAAAACCAATTTTCCTGAGGACAAATAATACTATACCACAACCCTTTTCTCACAAATTGTAATTTAAACTTATTTACTCCTAGGAAAAGTTTGCACCAAACGTGGAGTACTATTTAGTTGTTTATCGATTTTGCCCCCTCGTACACTTAATTCCCTAATTTTTAGAAATCAGATCAGATAATTTCATCCCCCTCAGTTCTTAATTCCCATAAAAAAAGACCACCCCAATTTGCAAACAGCCATACTGCATCCCACCACTCACTGTTTCCACCCGATCTCCTCTCCCTTACTTCACAATCAGTACGCCTTAATGTCTTCATCCATGTTCCGTTTCGACGCAACAATGGTGGAAAGGAAAGATCTCTCCGAAACCCATCATGTCGAAAATGGTTTCATTCGAGCTGTCGAGTTCTCGTGGCCCTGGTGATAGATCCAACACACGAGGGTTGCCCTACACCTTAAGCAATGGTACTGCCCTTTGACTAAGGAGAAGTTCTCATGGCCTTAGGTTGGGTGCAACTTGCAAAAGCAACTTAGGCATGAGCAATTCATGGGTCCCTCCCATGGATGGAATGAGATGGAGCCCAAATTCGGACAGGCAGGTGAGCCCAAATTACTTTGTTTTCGGTTTCCATGTTTCTTTTTGTTAGTGGTGGAAGCACTTGTGTCGCTCTCAAAAAGAGGGAGGGAAGAAGATGGCGATAACGGTTAGGAAAGTAGTGATCATGAAAGGGATTACTACTAATTGTAGGAGATGAGGATGGTTGTGGAGTGGGAGAGTGAAATTTTATTTTTGTTTTATTTGTGTTTGTGACACACTAATGTTGGAGAGGATCAAGGTCGGCAGCGAATAACTAATGTCAGTTTAGACATATATAATTGGAGGAAACGTACCAGGCAGTCATTATGGGCATCATTCGAATTCGAATCGGACCTGCTGCTGAACCGGATAGGGTCTCATTTAGTATTTCCAATCAAACTAATCGAACCAGCTATAGATCCGGTTAGGGATCTTGTTTAGTCAAATAGCTTTGACTACCGGTCAAGCCAGCTCAAACATATATTTTTTAAAAATAAAAAGTTATATGAATAATAACTTAAATTATGAAATATATCTAAAGAAAATAGAAAGTCGCTCAAACTCCCTTCATTGAGCGAAGGAGGAGATGCACAGTCTACGCTCCTGTAGGAGCACAATATATGCATTGTAATGATAAAATGATCACGCACCGGTCGCAGCAGTGCGCACTGCAATAATTATAGAAAGAGTGGCTGAGAATAGCTCTCATGTTTTACCTGACAGTACCTAATTTTTCACATTGAAATCTTAAATGTATCTTGAATGGAAAATAAGACTGAGATTGTATTTATCTTTAATAAAATAAATTCCTAGCCAATAGGGTTGGCTTGGGATGTGTCAGAAAATTCATGAAATCTTTTTTCAAATTTTAAATCTAACCAATGATACACTTATTGGGACCTACTTTTACTAAAAAGGGGCAGTTGGCAACGGATGCATCCATAGTTGTAGAGGTAAGGTGCGTCTTTAAATTTTATCATGCTATTTAATTTTAATGTAAAATGTTCTTAGGATTATCTCAAAATCTATTTTTATGTCAATTATAAAACTTTAAACTTAAAAAATGGTTGACATCAGGTACATCTATAAACATATGGAAATCTTGAAAATGGACGGTGTAGAAAATATGCTATAAAATGCGGTATTTTTTAGAGTTAAAATCCTTTTATTTTTCATGTTCATACATCTCGATGTCGAGATGATCAATCAAAGGGTTTTTCAACATTAAAACTATCTTTTCCGATGGATTTTTGAAGTGCATCTGTAGCCCTAGATGATAAGGTTGCACCCTTATATAAACTTTTTCCTTAAATGGTCCGTCTCTTTGTATATTTTTCATAAGTAATAATATCATAAATGCACCATTGCATAGAAGAGGTTCTCTATATGCACAATCCACCGTATGGTACCTTAGATGGACGAGGGAGATGAACCAATTTTCAAGAAGTAAAGATTTTCATCTCCGCCACGCACATTTCATGATGTGTGTGCCCTTTGACCATACTTGACCATTAACAAACCAGCGCATATACTGTGCTCCCTAGGGCAAAACGTTTACTTTGGAATTTTTTATTTGAAATTTCAGGATCTATTTAATTATAACTTGATGGTTATTTTCAAATAAAAAAAAAGATCTTGAGCTCTTGAACATCTAGATCATTGCCTCAAAAAATTCAATAGTTCCACTGCAATCTTGGGATGCCATTAAAAACTCTCTCTCGTCCCACTACAATCATGGGATCTCTTCCCACTACAATCATGGGATGCCATTAGAAACATATAAAGAGAGACTTTTGACCTATCATAGAGAAAAGGGCTAGAATTTTGCATTGCTTTGGAAATAAACCCCAACGTTATAAATGGATATACACAAAGTTGGTGAAATGCCAAACACTAATATCCTCTCTTTCTCTCGCTCTCATACTTGCAACCCTGAGGATGATGTGGTCACAAACATCCCCTCCATCTTAGTCACACTGTTCCCCTCCATTTGGATACAAGGGTCCTTGCCTTCAGCCATGCTGCCCACCTCCATCTTATACCTGTACTTTCTTGCCACCCACACAAATATCCCCAAATTTAATGCTGATAACACTGTGAGAAAGGCATAATAATAGTCCAAGTGTGAATCATTCAAATTGTTCCCAATCCAACTCTTTTTCCCCCCCCTGCTACTCACTTTATCCACCAAAGTTACCAAGAGGCTATTCAAAAAATTCCCAATCCCTATTCCACTAGTGAAGAAGGTTGTCCCCAAGCTTTGCATTTCCTCTGGTGATTGATCATAGAAGAACTCAAGCAACCCAACTGCATTGAACACATCAGCAATCCCCAACAAAATGTATTGTGGGAGAAGCCAAAATATGGTCATGGGGACTATGTCTTTAGCCCCACTAGTCCCTTCTTTCTTGATAACATCCAACCTCCTCACCTCAATGAAATAAGCCACAATGGTGACTATGATTTGGAAGACTATCCCAATCCCTAGTCTCTGTAGGAGAGTGATGCCTCGGGGGTTTCCGGTCTTGCGACGAAGGTAGGGAACGAGGTAGCGGTCGTAGATAGGGAGGGCGATGAGCATGGAGAGGGTCACGAATCCACTTAGTGAAGCTGCCGGGATTTGAAAGTTACCGGACCCCAGACTACGGTCCATAGTGGTGCCTTGCTTTACAAAGAGAGTGTTTATTTGAGCCCAGATGGTACTAGGGACCATGGTCCCCAGCCATACAAGCACCATCCCCACCACTAGCTTAGTTTCCTCAACATGGGTCACAGTACAGACCTTTGAGTTATCAGTGATGCCTTCTGCTATAGCTGCCTTGTCCAAGAACCTGAAATGAAGCATGAGGGAGTAGTAAAGTTAAGGTGTGTGAAAACTTCAGGATTTCCCTAATGGAGGGCGAAAATAGTTTAGTGCAAAAAGCATAAAGTGTTTTAAACTAGAAAGATTTTAAAAGGCAAAAAGAAAAAAAAAAAAAAAATTCCCTATTGGAGGAAGAAAATAGTTTAGTGCAAAAAGCATAAAGTGTTTTAAACTAGAAAAAATTACAAAGAAAAAAAGAAAAAATAATAAAAGATTTCCCTACTGGAGGAAGAAAATAGCTTAGAGCAAAAAACATAAAGTGTTTTAAACTAGAAAAAATTGAAAAGGAAAGAAAAAAAAAGACCTTTTAAGCACATTTCAACATGACCAAATCACTACTTTTGACATGAACTGGAATCAATTTTAATTTTTAAGGAAAAAAAAAATCAACAGGCTGTTCTGGCTACAGTAAGATAATTGATGAGATGTGAGATAGATCTTCATTTAGGTATTCTTTTTGTGCACTCGTGATGGGAGACCACTATAGAGGCAGATGTGACAGTGAATAAGGGTCAACTTCGCAAATGACTGCACTTGTACAGTAATTTTGTCAATTAATAAAAATGAAAATTAACGAATAAAAAAGAGGGATTGTTTGGTATCCAGGGGACTTACCCCTAACCGAGGCCAGTTACTTTGTGAAGTCCAACAATTGACGAAAATGCCCTAAAATTAAAAAAAATAAATAAACAAAAAAAGTACTAAAACTGAATTCGAACCTACAAAACTTTAAAAATTTTAAACAAGGTTAAGAGAAGTAGAAAAAGTGGATTAACAAAACCTATTTTACAGTTTGGGATATTTTAAAAAATCTATAAACGAAAATACAAAAATATGATTATGGCAAAGAAACCTCACTAATCTTTGGCATATATATGTAGATCGTGTAAGAAAAAACATATAACTTGATCTTTTACAATTCTTTTTCATTTTTTTTTTCAAATTTGTCTAAACACCTCTAGTTGTACATGACTAGAGGGTACTTGACCTAGCCCAACGGTTAAGCTGAGAAAGCGGATTCGGCCGAGTGATATACTAGCACGACTATTTATCCTTTAGAACAAAGAGGTCACAATCACTTATAGTCATGAATCTATCTGTCAAAAATTCAAAAATTTCCCTTTTGAACTTTTAAACTTTTGGCCTGCTTAATGATATACCCCAACCGCCTAATTACACATCAAATAGTCAAATCAACTTGAAGCCTCAAAACTTGTTTTCTAAAACAAACAAAAAGAGAAAGCCAGCCTTCTTCATGCATGTCCAAAAGTACAATACATTCCTAGGAAACTATGCATTTGGAGTTTTTTTTGGCACATTTTACTAATTAAAACAGCCAATAGTTTTTCAATTGTAGGATAATCCCTCTTCTAGAAAAGGATGGCCTAATCTAGTTAGAAGTAGCTAAAACAAATCCAACTTAGGAAAATAAATATGTACAAGAACCCTAAATACTAAGTATCACACATTAAAGTTGTGACCCTTAAATTATTTTACTTGTCTTTGTACGAAAATATTTGGGATGATATATAGTCATATTTCAAGAATCAAGATACAAATGTATTCGCCAAGTGTAATGAACTTGGAGGACTATCCCACTAAAAATATAATCTTAACTTGTGAAACTCTTTTATTACTTATTCGGGAACAATATCGAAATAATTGGTGAAAACCAATGACATTTATGAGAGAGATGACGATGGAAACCTGGTACCATTGTTCAAAAACTTGAACCGGCCAAGGGCTATAGCTCCGAGAAAGCGATAAACCAGTCGGTTCTACCGTCCTAACTAGGTAGGTCCTAGCCAATTAAAAAAGTATTTAAAATAAAAAATACAAAAAAATTTAAAACAATATGAAAAATATATTTAAACCAAAATTAAACAAAACACATCCAAATGAAGTCGAAAAGTAGTAACAAAAATAGATTTTAAAAAACAGATTTGTGCCTAGGGTATTCTAAAATATTTTCAATAAAACTGGAAAAAAAAAAAACAAGTATTCACGGCCAAAACACCTTCCAATCCTTTGCAAAATGATAAAAAAACATTCAAAAACACATTACCAACAATTTTTTTTTTAAATATTTTTTATACTTTTTGAATTCTTTTTAAAATATTTGACTACACAACCAAAACCTATCAAAACCGGATTGGCTTGTGCCGGTTCCGTTTTGACCGGCCGGTGGCCGATTCCAAGTTGGACCGGCCGAGTTGGTTATGTTTAGTGCATCACACTTAAAAGCAATGGTTTAAAAAATAGATCGGTGACCCGGATCGGGCTTCCAAAAAATCGATCCGGATCGACGAATCGACGATCCGGATCGGGAATCGGGTGAATTGGTCAGAATAAAGCTTAAAAAAAATCCGAAAAAATTATTAAAATTCATTATAAATATTGCTTTTTAGGAATTCAATAAAAAATGAGGGTACTCCATTAAGAATTTTCATGTTTTTGAATGAATATGCGAATATTGATATGTTCTTTCCCTACATGAACCGCCATTCAGCATTTAATTTAACGCATTTCGTGCTCATCCCTA